TCTCAGCGTCCCTCAAAATACTTTAAGTTTACAGATATTTTATACATCAAACAATACATTGGAACTAGTATTATTGGTAAATGTGCGAAGTCGTGTGCCTGCATGCTAAAAAGTACCTTTTTAGCACCTCACAGGCATTTTTTGGTCCTTTGTAAAATGTGTCCATTTATAACTCAACTTCTTACCAAAAACAATGGGCGTTTTTTATAGCTCAGTGCGGTGGTAAGGATGGCTGACCAGGCAGAGGGCCTAGAACCAAGCACTGGGACACAGTTCTGCCTCTGCCCCTCCTCTCTGCTCCCATCCCACCCACCCCGGGAGTGGGGAGGCTTTTGCCCCCTTCAGCAGTTGTCATCAGCCTTCTCTTGAACAACTACAGGGGCAGGAAAATACCTTAGACATTCATTCTACTCTCCTGTTTACCTCCCATCTGCGGTCTCCAGTTTCTCTTAAGTGGTGGTGTTAAAAGAGTCTGAAATCCTCTCTCTTTTTTTAAGTAAATATTCTTAATTTTTTAAAAGAATTTAACATAGATATTCACAACCATGTTTCTCTTCTCAAGATGATCTACTTTGGTTTGTGTAGGAAACTCCCTTAAAAAGCTTTAAATAGTGCAGGTTGACTTTTTCTGTGTCCTTGCTGTGGTGACTGAGGCATCCTAAAAATCACTTTGATTTTTACTGATATTATTGTCATCCAAAACAGAAGTCTGGTCATGCATGTAGATTTCAAAATCTTTTTCCTTAATGAGAGCAGTTCCTTGATCACAGGTCTACATTTTTAGGTTGAGTCTGTTAGTCACGTACCTGAGATTTCATTCTTGGGCCTGGACAACTTAACTTGGCTACTTAGAAATCCTTTTTTTCTTCTTTTTTGGTGCTTGGCTGGGTTCTATATAGCTGGGATTGTTAGACAAATGACTAACAGGGAACAGAGGTATTACTAGAATACTGATTGTCACAAATCTTATTTTTCTAACTTTATCAGCCCTTTGGGATCAATCAAGGTAACATAATTTGAGAGCCTGCCATATATACTTCAGTGTTCTGAGTTAGGCTATCCCTCAAGGAGAACTAAAGAGGAAACAAGACCAGCATTTGAACAGTGTGTACCTTTTATATAATCAATAATACCAGAACCAAATGATCACATGGACGTGCTCTTGGGTGTGTGAGGAGAACTAGATAACTACGGGCTGTGGTAGACTAGCTTCCTAGCTTTGTGAGAGAATCAGGGGGCTTGAACTGGTCCTCAGAGGAAATGGAAATTGGGGAGGTGGAGGAAAGCAGTTCTTCAGGCAGAGTTAGGCACAAAGGCAGGAATGTTCAGAAGATAGGCAGACTATCCGTAGGAAAAAAAGTTGGCTGTATGAACAAGACTTTTATCGAATAAGAAGATACAATTCTAGAGAAACAGATTAGATTCCCAAGAGATCAAGACTTAAATTCAGGGTGGTTAGGAATTTTTGAGCGATAGCTTGATGTGTGTAAAGTTGTATGTTCTAGAGGTAACAAGAGAGGAGGAGGAGTTAAGTTCCCGGCCTGGTTACCACAAAAATTGTTAGCGACAGACAGGCACATGGAGAAGCCAATTTGGGGGATATTTATCTGCCAACCGAAGTCAGTTTTAAAGGTATGGGCTATGGGCACCTGACTGGTTCAGTTGGTAGAACATGCAACTCTTGATCTTGGGGTCATGAGTTTGTGCCCCACACTGCGGGGAGACTGCACTTAAAATTAACACATGAATGAATGAATGGGCTAAAGAATCAAGTTTATTTGATTTAGCAATCCTCACATGGAAAACAAAGGTCTGTAAAGATTCTTTTTCACAGACGCCCTATGACTGTTTCGTACTAAGCATCACTGAAAATGAGCACCTCCCATTATCTGGCAAGGCTGGCTTGCTCGGTTCTTTTTTGCATATCTGGGCATCTTGCTGATTTTTTACAGAACTCAAACAGCTATATTGGGAGCTGATAAACTTATGGCTGCTCTAACCAGGTTTTTTTGGTGCTGTTCACTTAGCCAATCGTCCAGTTTCCAGTTTCATTAAATGCTTTTTGTTTTTTTAAAACCTTCAGCTACTATTAGGAGTCCCTCTACAAATAATGCTAAATGCTGTTCAGTTTCAAGCTTCTAAAATTTCTTGAGGCCAACACCTTATATTGAAGAGGATCAAAATAACATCTATATTTCCTAAGTTGACATTCATTTTTGTGTGAAACATTATAGGTTGATCATCATTTGGTCAGGTTATATTAATTATTTATTTTTATTTTTTTAATGTTTATTTACTGAGAGAGAGAGAGAGAGAGAGAGAGAACACGTGAGCAGGGGAGGGGCAGAGAGAGAGGGAGTGAGAAAATCCCAAGGAGGCTCCACGCTGTCGGTGCAGGACCCGATATGGGGCTCAAACCCACGAACCATGACATCATGACCCGAGCCGAAATCAAGAGTCAGATGCTTACCCAGCTGAGCCACCCAGGTGCCCCTCTTAATGTATTTTTTAAAAACTAGATTACTTTGCCTTAATATGTTCAAGGTAATTAACCATTGGGCTAGCTTTATGCAGGTAGTTGTTAAATGTTACAACATTTTGTGAATAGTTAAGGACGCCATAGTAAAAAAAAAAAAAACTTTATTGGGCAAGATTTATTTCAAGGCCATCAGTGCCATTAACACACTAGACCAGTGTGTAGGATGTCTTTCTTACCAGTCAGGTCTCAAGAATTCAGAACTATTCTGAATCCTGATCTTTGCTTATTATAAAGTAATCTAGATTCTAAGATGTATAGTTATGTTCATAGTCCTCACTGGGGATGTTTGGCTTTTTATTTGCTCGAGTTTCTGTTTAATTTGTAACGGTAGGCAAAACCAGATTGAATGGATTCAGTATAAAATGATGCATCGTGTACAAAATTCCATACTGGAACATTTGTTTTTGGTAAAACAATACGGGAAGAATGGAAACGGTGTATAGATTTGTTTTTCTTCTTTTTAAAAATCTGTTTTCCCTTTTACTAAAAATCTTTTTTTTTTATTATTTACCAAGACTCCTGTGTTGGTATATATAATTCATAGTGAATGACTCTCTTAAAAATGTAGTCCTGGGGCGCCTGGGTGGCGCAGTCGGTTAAGCGTCCGACTTCAGCCAGGTCACGATCTCGCGGTCCGTGAGTTCGAGCCCCGCGTCGGGCTCTGGGCTGATGGCTTGGAGCCTGGGGCCTGTTTCCGATTCTGTGTCTCCCTCTCTCTCTGCCCCTCCCCCGTTCATGCTCTGTCTCTGTCCCAAAAATAAATAAACGTTGAAAAAAAAAAATTTTAAAAATGTAGTCCTTAGTTTTCCCACACTAATAAGCAGTTGAAAAAAATTCCCACAATGCTTACATTTTGAACTTGGATTTGAAAGGACTTCTTTGGAAAGATACATCTCAATAAATTACATAAAAACAATTTTAATGAATTTCATGCTTCCAGCTAGTATCATCTAATGTTTTAACCTCAAACTATATGAACTGAGTTGGCTATTTGTACAGTTCTTTTATGTTCTCCGTATTCAGTTTAGCATAAGACATTATTCTAAAAGTGCCAGAATTGTTTGCAAGTTACCAAGAGAAGGTCTCATTTTTAGTTTTCACATAGGGGAAGTTATTTTTACTGAATGTTAGCATGTTAGGGTTTACCAGTGTCCTCTTCTTTAGGTGGAATGGAGTAATGACCATTTTGTGTACTTGATTAAGACGTTAGGATTCATTCTTTCATTTGAGAGGCTTTCTCCGCATGCCTGTGTGCCAGACCCGGTTCTAGACGCTGGGTGCACCGTCTCCGGGGGAGCACCGTCTCCGGGGGAGCACCGGAGGAGACGAGTATAGTGGGAGGGCCAAGAAGACAAGGAATGACGGTGTTGAGTGTTAGAACAAGGCAGAACTTGAGCTGTGTGAATTCTGAGGGTTGGAAGGATTGAGTAGTTAGATTGGAAGGTAAGAACTCAGAATACAAACATGAATATTTTTCAGGTTAGTAGATTTTGAATATAAACATTGTGAAAACTGGCTTTGTGTTTGCTTACTTTACACACGTATCTTTTCTTAAAGGTAGAATAGTGATTAAAAATGTGGGTATTTTTGATAAGACCTGTCTCACTTTTAAACCCTGAGGCAATCCGTATATCCCTCACCAGCCTTAGTGCCACCCGGAAAAGAGAGAAATTAGCTAATTTTGCATAATCTCTGAAGTCTGTTTTCACAAGTGGATAAAAGAAGACTTTTACATCCTGTTGCTTTTTGACAAGCATTATATATCAAATACAGAGGAAATTGATTAAGTGTGGAGAAAAAAATTATATAAATTAAATTCAGAACCATTTTCTGTTTTTCATAATAAAATGATTGCTCAAAGAATTCCATCTGATGACTGTTGAAAGCTCACTGCAGTTTATGATATAACTGATAAAATCTGCATCCTTGGCCTTCCAACAACCTTTACACCAGCAGATGGTGGGCGTAAAGATGTCATTCATCATTTATTTACAATGGACTTTATTTATTCTAGTGTCAACAGCTGCCCCAGGGAGTGGGTTATTGAATTCAAATGTGAGGCTCTGGGTTATTTGCTTCCTTTCAAATTTGTCTTCAGAGCTTAGTTGCTAGGAGTCCATTCTGTGTTCTAATAATGATTCATGTATTGTGAAGCCATTCAGTAAATTGGGTTGTCAGGGATTGCCAAAAAAGGTTTAGAGGTCTTGTTGGGGGCGGCTGTGGGGGG